TCCCCCATCTGGAGTTGTAATTTATGATTTTAATCAAGTCTTTAAACTAAAGATTTAAGACACATCCTATTTTATTGTCAGAGATCGGCACCAATGATGTGGGTTATCATTTGTGTTCCATGATGAGATTTAGGATATAATAAGGGAATCCAAATGATTCCCCCATCATGAGTGTAGATTTATGATTTCTATCAAGTATTCAAACGAAAGACTTAAGACACATACTTTTTACACAGATCACAGATATAAAATCATGTCAGGGGAATCATTTGTGTTCCATGTTGAGGTTTAGGGTTTAATATCATTAGGGAACCCAAGTGATTCTCCTCATTATGAGTTTCGATTTATGATTTCTACCAAGCATTTAAACAAAAGACTTAAGAAACATACTTCTTATTGTCAGTTATCGATATTCATGACGCGGGGAATCTTTAGTGTCCATGATGAGATTAAGAGTGCAATACGTAAGGGAATCCAAATTATTCCCCTCGTCATGAGTATCGATCTGTGATTTCAGCAAAGTTACAAACAAAAGACTTAAGACATATACTTTCTATCGTCAGTGATCGACATCCATAAGGCGGGAAATCATTAGTGTTCCATCATAAGATTAAGGGTGTAATATCATTAGCGAATCCAAACTATTACCCTCGTCATGAGTATTGATCTGTGATTTCAAAAAAGTTATCAAACAAAAGACTTAAGACACATACATTCCATCGTCAGTGATTGACACTCATGACGCTGGGAAGCATTTGTGTTTCATGAAGAGATTTAGGATACATTAACATTAGTGAGGATTTATGATTTCAATCAAGTATTCAAACAAAAGACTTAAGACACATACAAACATTGTTTTATGTGTTGTTCAGAGATCGTTACTCATGACATTAGGGAGATGAGCGATTCATCCGTCATGAGTCCCGATCTCTCACTTCATTCAAGTATCTAAACAAAAAACTTAAGATACATACTTTTTTTTAATCGTTAGAGATCGGCACCCATGACGCGGAAATCAATTGGATACAATATTATTAGGGAATCTAAATAATTGCACATATCATGAGTGTAGATCAATGATGTCAATCATCAGGATATCCAAATTATTCCATTCGTTATGAGTATCGATCTGTGATTTCAATCAAGTAATCAATTAAAAGACTTAAGGTACATACTTTCTATTATCAGTGATCGACACTTAGGACGCGGGGAATCATTTGTATTCCATGAAGAGGTTAAGTATGTATTATCATCAGGGAACCCAAACGACTCCCCAAATCATCTTATGACGCCCAGAATCTTTAGTGTTCCATGATGAGATTTGGGATACAATATCATCAGGAAATCCATCATGAGTTAGGATTTATGATTTCAATGAAGTATTCAAATAAAAGACTTAAGACACATACTTTCTGTCTTCAGTAATCGGCACGATCGGTGTTGTTCAGAGATCGGTACTCATGACGTTAGGGAGACAAATGATTCCTCTATCATGAGTCTCGATTTCTCACTTCATTCAAGTATCTAAGTATAGTCAAAGATCGGCACCCATGACGCGGAAATCATTTGGATATAATATCATTAGGGAATCTAAATAGTTCCACACATCATGAGTGTAGATCTATAATGCGAATCAAGTATTCAAACAAAAGACTTAAGACACATACTTTCTTATAAGAGTCCTTCAAAGATCTGCCCTGATGACGAGGGGAATGATTTGTATTTAATAATAATATTTAGGATATAATATCATTAGGCAATCCAAGTGAAACCCCTGTTACAAACAAGTATTCAAACAAAAGACTTAAGACACATACTTTCTTATACAATGGCTAGAGTGCTAAAACTTATCAAGGATGCCAAACTGGCTGATATTAAGCATCTTTATGTTTTGTAGCAACAAGTAGCTTGTTACAAGATATCAGCATATGACCCTGTTTCTGTCAGATTTAACTTGCAACTAAAAGTCACTGTAAAAGCAAAACATAAAATTCCAAATTCTGTCTGATTGGTTTATATAATACTTACATGCTTAAAACTGCCTTAAGACTAGACCTATATTAAATAAATAAAATATTTTTAAAACAAAAACATTTATAAATCTACAAACATGTAAACAAAAACTTGTTTAAATGTCGATTTTTAAACAAAATGCACTCTTAAAGAAAAACAACAAATTGTTAATAAATATTTAATAAAAACAACAACAGCAACAAAAAACGAAGGCGTAAATAAACAATCAGGTCAAACCAGACCTACTTAAACCTAAACAAAATTGTAAGCAAAACGAAAAGACAGACATGCAGACGGACGGACGGACTTAAAAAGTGTCAGGTCTCTTTTTTTGTATTAAATAGTTTAAACTTTAAACAAAAAATAAATATTTTTAATAAAAATCTTGTTTATTAAAATATTTTTAGCAGCCATGTTGTTTATGTTAAAATTTTTATAATTATTTATAAAAAAAACTTACATTGTTTTATTGTTAACAACTTTATTTTGAGAAATTCTCAGCATTAATTATTAACAATTTAATTTCTATTTTTATATAATTTTAAAAAATCCCCACGTTAGAGTAAAAAATTCTAGAAATTTTATATTAGAATTAGATTTTTTTTCACTACAATTAAAAACATATTTTAATAAAAATGAAAATATTTGCAAAAAAAAACATCTACAATTAATTTTAATACATTTTTTTTTATTTAAAAACAATAGATAATTTTGTATTTTGTTGTTCATTAAAGGTGCGTGTTGAAAATAATTATAGTTTCGATTTTTAGTTTTTTTTTTCTTTTCAAATTTATTTCGTTTGTATAATTAGCAATTATTAATGGAAATTTAACTATAGATATTGGTGTTAAAATTATAACTGTTTTTTTGAAAAGATTCTAAAACCTTATTTAGTAGGGCTAATGTAGCGTAAAAACTTGGTTTTGTTTTGTTAAAAATTTCTTAATTCAAGGTTTTTGTAAGCTGTTCAATTTATTGCTTAAAAAATAAAAAGACTTGTTTTAAATATTTAAAAAAAAAATGATTGTTGAAAAAAACCTTCAAGGATAATGAAAAGAAAAACTTGAAATTTTACTTTAAATGTGTGAGTATTACAGGAAGTGTTGCCTAAACTGGGTTGCAAAGCAAAAAACCAACAACAATAAATGAAATTGAGAATATAAAAAGGATCCAAATCTGTGACAACTTTACGTCTCCCTAAAAGAGACATGACTTCTATATAAATTATATTTCACAATGAGGACTGATTTTTATCTCTTTAAGAGACATGATTTCTATAGAAATTTTGCCTCTTCAAGAGACATGATTTCTATAGAAATTTTGCCTCTTCAAGAGACATGATTTCTATAGAAATTTTGTCTCTTCAAGAGACATGATTTCTATAGAAATTTTGTCTCTTTAAGAGACATGATTTCTATAGAAATTTTGTCTCTTTAAGAGACATGATTTCTATAGAAATTTTGTCTCTTTAAGAGACATGATTTCTATAGAAATTTTGTCTCTTTAAGAGACATGATTTCTATAGAAATTTTGTCTCTTCAAGAGACATGATTTCTATAGAAATTTTGTCTCTTCAAGAGACATGATTTCTATAGAAATTTTGTCTCTTCAAGAGACATGATTTCTATAGAAATTTTGTCTCTTCAAGAGACATGATTTCTATAGAAATTTTGTATCTTCAAGAGACATGATTTCTATAGAAATTTTGTATCTTCAAGAGACATGATTTCTATAGAAATTTTGTCTCTTCAAGAGACATGATTTCTATAGAAATTTTGTCTCTTCAAGAGACACGATTTCTATAGAAATTTTGTCTCTTCAAGAGACATGATTTCTATAGAAATTTTGTCTCTTCAAGAGACATGATTTCTATAGAAATTTTGTCTCTTCAAGAGACATGATTTCTATAGAAATTTTGTCTCTTCAAGAGACATGATTTCTATAGAAATTTTGTCTCTTCAAGAGACATGATTTCTATAGAAATTTTGTCTCTTCAAGAGACATGATTTCTATAGAAATTTTGTCTCTTCAAGAGACATGATTTCTATAGAAATTTTGTCTCTTCAAGAGACATGATTTCTATAGAAATTTTGTCTCTTCAAGAGACATGATTTCTATAGAAATTTTGTCTCTTCAAGAGACATGATTTCTATAGAAATTTTGTCTCTTCAAGAGACATGATTTCTATAGAAATTTTGTCTCTTCAAGAGACATGATTTCTATAGAAATTTTGTCTCTTCAAGAGACATGATTTCTATAGAAATTTTGTCTCTTCAAGAGACATGATTTCTATAGAAATTTTGTCTCTTCAAGAGACATGATTTCTATAGAAATTTTGTCTCTTCAAGAGACATGATTTCTATAGAAATTTTGTCTCTTCAAGAGACATGATTTCTATAGAAATTTTGTCTCTTCAAGAGACATGATTTCTATAGAAATTTTGTCTCTTCAAGAGACATGATTTCTATAGAAATTTTGTCTCTTCAAGAGACATGATTTCTATAGAAATTTTGTCACTTCAAGAGACATGATTTCTATAGAAATTTTGTCTCTTCAAGGGACTTGATTTCTATAGAAATTTTGTCTCGTTAAGAGACTTGATTTCTATAGAAATTTTGTCTCTTTAAGAGACTTGATTTCTATAGAAATTTTGTCTCTTTAAGAGACTTGATTTCTATAGAAATTTTGTCTCTTTAAGAGACAAAATTTTGTCTCTCATGATTTCTATAGAAATGTTCTCTCTTTTAAGAGACTTGATTTCTATAGAAATTTTGTCTCTTCAAGAGGCTTGATTCCTATAGCAATTTTGTCTCTTCAAGAGACTTGGTTTCTATAGAAATTTTGTCTCTTTATTTTCTTTTAATAGAATATTTAACAAAAATTTTCATTTCATTATAAATTCATTAAATTTTATATTTGTATAGTTATATTATTTATATTTTTTTCATAATTTTAATTTAGCTTTGCTTTCCACATTTCCTTTCAGATACCAATGTTGCAATCAAGTACCCAACAACAACGACAACTACAACAACAAGTGAAAATAAGTCTACAGCAAGACTTAAATTATCGAAAGCAACAACCAGATTTTGTAAGCGACATTTGTGGTTGTTTCATAAACAATTGCCTTAAATGTGGCCTTAAAGAAAACGAGAAAATTCTGCACAATTTTAATAACGAAAAGAGAAGACATTAAAAAGAAATAAAGAAATAAAACTAAAGCAAAATAACCAAAAAAACTGAAAAACTAAACTAGATTAAATTAAAAGAAAAATCGAGAGTATCAAAAGAAAAACGAAAGGAAATTTTCAACAAAAGCTAAACATAGACAAGGGAAAACCCCCTTTCCCCCTCCTAGACAAATAAAAAGAAAAGAAAATAATAATAAAAAAAAAAACAATTACACTAACGGTGCTTTATAATGGTGGATAAGGTGATGATGTATAATAAACATCAAAAATATCAACAACAGCAGCAAAAACAAAAACCACTAACAGCCAAAGCAAAGTTAAAACAGCAACAACAACAACAATTGAAATGTATAAACAAAACTCCTCAACTGGAGCTCAGAGAGAAGAGGGAGTTGTCAGAAAATGCTGAATTTTATTACACATTAAGTACAAAAAGTACTAAGCCAACAACAACAGCAACATGTCTTAAAGACATTGTTGGTAGTAGTTGCTGTAATAGTATTAGTGTTCAAAATTATTTTTATCAACATCACAGGGGAGTTAAGAGAAGATTGGAAAGAGGTGGCGCTGGTGGTGTTGGTGGTATTTTGTATTTGTGGCTTGTGTTGGTGGTATTTATGTTGTTATTATGTGGCAATAGTGCAATTTCTCAGCAACGAAATATTAACAATAATGTTAAACTAAACAATAGCAACAATAACAGCAACAACATTGGCCACATATTGTTGCAAATTTCCACACCACCAACATCGTCGTCATCATCATCTGCAGCACTTTATACAAATAATAAAAGACATGCAAGGGGGGCTGCTGGTGTTGGCATTATAGTAGCGGATGATGCAGAAAAACAAGTATTTGCAGCAAAATCTAATATAACAACAAAAACTACTATATCATCAACATCATCATCGTCGTCTTCATCTACTTCAACATCTTCTTCGTCATCTTCTTCATCATCATCGTCTTCAAATAACGCCCCAACATTAGGAGGCATTAGTAATAGCAATAGCAACATTAACAAATACAACACCAGCACCAATAACAACAAAAACAACAATAACGAATCATTATTAAATGATGGCGAAAGTATTAGTGCCACCAGCAGCAACAATAACGATAATTTAAGCAGCAGCAGTAGCGAAGATCTATTAAATTCCTCAGAAATTTTAAATGAATCAGAAGGTGAGTGTTTTTTTTCTTCTTAAAATTTCTTTTGTTATAATTTTTATTAAAAATTTTATCACTTTTTTCCTGAATTTTTTTGTGAAAAATGGGATTTTTTAGAAAAACCTATATTCTAATCTTTGAAAATTTAGTATAGTAGTAGAAATACTACTTTTTGAAAAAAAGTTATAAATTCACTACATTTTGATCAAGAATATGATTTTATGAAATAGAAACTTTAAAAATGTAATATTTCTTAAAAAAAAATTAAACAAAAAGTACTAAATTAGTTACTACTTTTTAACAAAAAGGTAGTAATTATAGAAAATTTTCTTATGGAATTTATTTATAATGAAAACGTGTTAGCAAAAACGTAGTTATAATTATTCTATACAGTACTTTTTGTACTAGAATATGATTGCATAAAGGATAAGCTTTAAGAAAATAATATTTTTTACAAAAATTATTCAAAAAATACTAAATTAGTTAGTACTTTTTATCAAAAAAGTACTAATTATGGAAAATTTTCTTCGAGAATTTATTTATCATGAAAAAGTGATAGCAAAAACATACTTATTTTGTTTTAAAAAAATAGTAGTAGAAATACAACCTTTTGAAAAAAAGTATTGAATTTTAAACTTACTGACTAGAATATGATTTTATGAAATATAAACTTTAAAAAAATAATATTTTTAGTAAAAATTATTTATAAAGTACTAAATTAGCTACTACTTTTTGACAAAAAAGTAGTAATTATAGAAAAATTGCTTATGGAATTAATTAATAATGAAAAATTTATTGCAAAAACGTAGTTAGTTTGTTTATTTAAAATAGTAGTAGAAATATTACTTTTTAAAAAAGTACTGAATTTTAAACTTTTTGACTAGAATATGATTTTATGAAATATAAACTTAAAAAAATATTACTGTTTTTAAAAATGATTCATAAAGTACTAAATTAATTACTACTTTTTAACAAAAAAGTAGTAATTATGAAAAATTTTCTTCAGAATTTGTTTATGTTAAAAAAGTGTTGGCAAAAACCTAGTTATGTTGCTTATTTAAAATAGTAGTAGAAATACTACCTTTTGAAGAAAGTATTCTCTACAGTACTTTTTGTACTAGGATATGTTTTCATAAAATATAAACTTTAAGAAAATAATATTTATAATAAAAATTTTCGAAAAAGTACCAAAATAACTACTACTTTTTAACAAAAAAGTAACAATTATTAATTTCTAAAATTACTTTTCTTACAGAATTTCATTTTAATGAAAATGTGATAACAAAAACATGTTTATTTAACTATTTTAAAATAGTAGTAGAAATGCTACCTTTTAAAAAAAGTATTATATACAATACTTTTTGTACTAGAATATCAATCCATAAATTATAAGCTTTAAAAAAATAAAATGTTCAATAAAAATTGTTCAAAAAGTACTAAATTAGTTACTACTTTTTAACAAAAAGTACTAATTGTTCCCATATGTATTATTTATAATGAAAACGTGCTAACAGAAAACCTGCTTATTTTACTATTTTGAAATAGTAATAGAAATACTATTTTTTAAGAAAATTACTAATTCATTAAAAATTTGTCTGAAAATAAAGTAAAAAGTAAAGTTTTTTGTTGAAAATAGATTTTTTTTTGGTAAAAACTTTCAACTTTCTTTAATCATTTCCACTTTATGAAAGTTTTCCTTACAAAAATTCCATTAATAACAATTTGTGTTTTTGTTTGTTATTTTCGCCTACAGTCTTATTAATTGTTAATAAATTATTTTTCTGAAAACAAATTACAAAACTATAATAAAATCAAAATAATGGTTAATAATCGACACAAGCATTATATAATAGTTAGATGCTTAAAGATAAATTCAATTTAAAATAAATTGAGTTGAAAGTAATTTTTTATTTTTTTAAACAATTTACTGTTACACAAAAATCTCGCATTAAATATAAGATTATAAAGAAAAAAAACTACATCATTAACTTTAAATAGTTAAAAAAAAGTTATAAACATTTCTAAAATTACCTTAGGGTGGGGGTTTTTAGAGTTTTGTTTTAAAGGAAATTGGTATGAACATAATATTAAAGTCAAACTGTTATATATGGCCTGAAGTGGGACAAATTGAGGCAAAAAATTTTGATATTTTGTTTAAGACTTGTTTCTTTTAGTTTTTGATTTATAAAGCAAATTTCTAGTGAAAATTATTATACAATTTTTGTAGTTAAATGGAAAATTGTTAAGAAAATTAGGTAATTTTAGGAAAAATAAAAGACAATTATTTGTTGAATTTGTTATTAAAATATATTAATAATGAAAAATTTCTTATAAAACCATGGTTATTTGACTATTTTAAAAAGTAGTAGAAATACTACTTTTTGAAAAACAGTATTAAATTCATTACTTTTTGACTAGAATATGTTTACATAAAATATAAAAAATGGGGAAAATAGTATTTCTTATAAAATTTATTTAAAAGGTATTAAATTAGTTACTACTTTTTAACAAAAAGGTAGTAATGTTGGAAATTTTTCTTACAGAATTTATTTGTAATAAAAAGTGATAGCAAAAACATGGTTAGTTTGCTTATTTATAATAGTAGTAGAAATACTACCTTTTGAAAAAAGTATTAAATACAGTACTTTTTGTACTAGAATAAGATTTCATAAAATATAAGCTTTAAGAAAATAATATTTTTTTTATAAAAATTATTCAAAAATTACTAAATTAGTTACTACTTTTTAACAAAAAATAGTAGTTATAGAAAAATTTGTTATAGACTTTATTTATAATGAAAAAGTGATAGCAAAAACGTAGTTAGTTTGCTTATTTAAAATAGTAGTAGAAATACTACTTTTTGAAAAAAGTATTCAATACAGAACTTTTTGTACTAGAATATGATTAAATAAAATATAAGCTTTAAGAAAATAATATTTTTTATAAAAATTTTTCAGAAAGTACTAAATTAGTTACTACCTTTTAACAAAAAAGTAGTAATTATGGAACATTTTTTTACAGAATTTATTTATAATGAAAAAGTGATAGCAAAAAGGTAGTTAGTTTGGTTATTTAAAATAGTAGTAGAAATACTACTTTTTGAAAAAAGTATTCAATACAGAACTTTTCGTACTATAATATGATTAAATAAAATGTAAGCTTTAAGAAAATAATATTTTTTCTAAAAATTATTCAAAAAGTACTAAATTGTTACTACTATTTAACAAAAAAGTAGCAATTATGAAAAAATTTCTTACAGAAATTACTTATAATGAAAATGTGATAGCAAAAACGTAGTTCGTTTGCCTTTTTTAAAATAGTAGTAGAAATATTTCTTTTTGAAAAAGTATTAAATACAGTACTTTTTGTATTAGAATAAATGATAAGCTTTGAGAAAATAATACTTTTTATAAAAATGATATAAAAAGTACTAAATTAGTTACTTTTAGTTATGTTTACAAAAAGTACCAATCTATTTACCCGAATTTGGGCTTATATGTGTAGGGCCTTAGTACCCGAATTCAAAAATAACACACCAAAAGCTTATTTTGTGTAAGTAAATTAACTAATTTTTCAAATTTTGTAAATAATTGGTTCCATGAGTTTTTCCCCTTTTTGGTACTTTTATTGCGGCAATAAAGTAGAAAACATTTTGTTCTGCCGGTCCATGCACAAGCACTTTGCTCAAGTACTCAAGCTATCTAATCCCTGGCCACTGCTGCCCTGTTGCTTAACTTTCGAGGTGCAAAAACATCACTACCGTTTACAACCACGTAAATGGGATGGCCTCTGTAGGCAACAGCAGTTACAGACGTATTCGGTAGTCCAAATTACGAATCCTTAAAATAAGCCGAGGTCTTTGTTCTTACTCGCAGAGAACACAATGTGGTAAATCTGGTATGATCAGAGTTTTCCCTGAACATACCTGGACAAGGAAGGAAAATTCAATGGTATCACCTTTCATCCATCACTATTCAACCCAGAACTCTTCCCATTCATCCGACACATTCATAGAGAACAACATCCGTCACACTCACTCTAGATCCGTATACCCCTACATTCATCCTGTATCATATACATTTAACGCCATCTCATTTCGAACGCTTAGTCTCATAGACACTCCTCTGTGAAGCACCAAATTTATCCCGAAATTTATATTTCACCGTACATCATTCCTTTAACTGACATTCTCTTCCCGCGAATTTGAGTTTAAAATACAGTCACTAAGCGTGGATCCCGGAGGAACCTCAACCAACAAATCATTCCAAGGAAAAACCGAGGATACATGTGATCATTATCCGTTTATAATCCAATTACACTATGGGGGTCTTTCATCGAGGTAACATATCCCCGGGGAGCTTTTTATACCCTACTCCACTATAGCGGGGAGGGTATTATGTGTTTGTAACACCAAAATCACATTCTGAGTCGATTAAGCTATGTCCGTCTGTCCGTCCGTTTATGCGCACTCTACAGGTCGCAATTTTCAAGATAATTATTTTTTTAACACAAGGACGAAGCCTATTGATATTGGTTGAACTCGTACCATTATTTCGCCTAGCCCCCATACAACCGTACCGCTCGAATAGGGCTTTTGAGCTTATAATAATGTTAAATATTGTACAATCCCTACAAAAATCGGCAAATCTTAGTTTTATATAAGTTGAAATGATACTGCCGATATTCGTAATGATCGGGCCTCATTTGACCCTAGCCCCCATACAAAATCCCCTTTTAGAAAATGGCTTGATGGTCAAAATTCACTTATAAACACTAATATCATGATGTTATTTAGCATAAATAACTAATGTAGACATAAATAGATAGATAGGACCATATTAACCCTATGCCCCCCTATAACCCCTCATTTAGAAAATCCCATTTTTGTCAACAAATTGTTAAAATATTTCTGAATTCTAGTCCAAAGAGACATCTACTGTAAAAATTTCAAAAAAATTCTAGTTTCAGCCGTTTGGCGTATGTTATAATGAAAATTTTTCAAATCTAAAATAGTA